TATTGTTAATAAAACTTAGTGATATTGCCTTGTATATTTACAGATTATATTTTCAAGCAATTAATAATGCCATAATATGTGATCTAAGCAAGTCGAACTGTCGAAAACATGATATATACAGGCTACAAGAAGGTATGAAATATATACAAAGGTAGGATTGTTCTCTCATACAAAGCTAGACTGCTAGAGAACTTGCTTTGGCGTTTATATCAATATTAGCTAAGTGAGTCAATATAGATACCCTCTCAATACGTTAACAATGTAAATATTATATTGTTAATGTATTGTCAGATGTATTGAGAAGGTATCAATACAGTATATTGACTCATTTAGCTAAATTATATTGATTTAAGTTCTATGGCTTTCAGGCTTAATAGGAGAACTATCCTTCCTTTGTATTATCTATATTGTGCTATCACAGTAAATAGCTTTATTATACATTTAATATGTATTTTCGTTTCTAATTGGTCAGAAAGCACCGGCTAATTTTCAGTATTCGGCATTTATTACGTATTTTCCGCCGATGACGTCATGAGCGTCCAATAATTGTTTTTTTGGATCGAACTTGCATCCAAAAAAAAAATTATTGGACTCTCTCGTGCCCAAGCCCTTGCGCGGCCAAAAGCTTGAACCTATAAGCGCGCGAAAAAAAACAAACAAACAATGGCCTACAGCAGATTTACTTCGCTGAATGAAAGTGAACTCTCCAAATTATTGGCAGATAAGGATAGTGAAAGCACGAAAAAAGCCACAAAGGGGTAAATAGAAGTAGAAATATAATATTTAGCTGACCTTTGATTTTGTGCAAGGTGTTTGATATTCAAATTGTACTTTTCCTACCTCATGAACAGGAATCGTTTTATACGTTTCTCATGTCTTTAAATGTATAATAAAACAATTATTGGATTCGGCTTTCGCATGATATCAAGAATTATTCTGACCTCGGTCTATGTTATCCGCCTCAGCTTCGCTTCGGCAGATAACATTGACCTCGGTCTGAATAATTCTTGATATCATGCTCAGCCTCATCCAATAATTGCTTATTAACACACCCTCACGGATATTTAAAGCCTGGTCATAATGCTCCATATGGTCATAATGCTCGTAAAAATAGAGTCACGATCTTTCTCAACAGCCAGTTTATAATAGTTTGTACCTGTAAGCCACATATAAATCATAAATATTCTCTAGTTATAATGACTCCGCGTATATTTTCAGTTCCAAATGTTGCATTTCGGCTGATGAGAAAAATCGTGACTCAATCTTTACGACCCTTACGACCATATGGAAACCAGGCTTATGGTTTGTATTTCGAACAGTCTCGGAACTAGTTTTGCTTAGCTGCCGATTGGAGTCAGTATAAAACAAAGAGAATTGCTTAGTATATGTCACTATAAAGAACTGTTGTATATTTCAACAGGTTGAAATCACAGTGAGTATTTCAATAATGCTTACCAAGTTCAAAAGTACCTTTTGGTAAGAGTCACATCACAGCACATAACAAGTCATATTTTCTAGCTTCGTTGCGGGTACATGTCTCTGCATAGTTGTTAGCATTCAAAATGATGAGTTGCTCTTTACACATCAAATTAAATGTCACCTGCTGGCTTTTGGGTTATTAACAAATTCCTGACACGCATGAGTTGCAAGGACTACCACATTCTTCACTGGAAAAGACTAGAATGATTATTTTTGTTCGCATTTCAAATTTAGGTTTTCATCATGGCCTCACGTATTGGCTACATTACATTACATTATTATTCAGCTCACTCCCCTTCGGGGCTTTTCAGTGACCGATTAAATCAAGTATTACGCTTACTCATGCTACTTACTTAGCCTAGACTATTTATCTTTACAACAACTGTGATTACTTTCTTAACTACATTGTTTATCCTGACTACCCCTGTCAACTTTCCCTATAGGAGGAAACAGGAGCGCCCAGAGAAAATCCACGACATTCGGCAGAGCGTTGACGTACTCTTTTCACATGAGTCCGTAGCGAGAATCGAACCCACGATCTCAGAGGTGAAAGGCGCTTGCTCTAACGACTGCGCCACCGCAGCCACCTTAACGACGGAGGCTATGGAGTAAACATTGTTAAAGTTTGTTTTCGAAACTCGGATCAAACGGCATAATATATAGGGCATGTTTATACACGAGACAATTTTTGCTGCAACTTGCAGCGCAAAATCTGACATAGCATCCTCCGCAGGCATCTCTATCGCTTTTAGCTTGCGAATGGGTAGATCACAAAAACAGCGTGAGACTCGTTGGTAAAGTAGACGCAGGGAAATCGTGAGCATGGCCCACAGTTTACTATGCCGAAATTCCCATCCCATGCACACTTTTTCATTTTTGACCCTTTTAATAAGAGGATGCCATGTGAAAAAGTGTCGACAGAGTGGAATGTGTCGTGAAATAGCGACAGACGCTAAAACACTAATGACTTTAGTATAATCATATAGATATTGAATTACGCACTTGTCTTTGAATAACACAGATCTAGCACATGTCAATGTACAATTATTAGTAATCACTCATACTCGAACTTGATTGGTTAGAATAATTTGCTTAGGGGTAAAATTACATTCGTGCTTGGGACACATTATTATTATATTTTTATGTTTGTATATAGTTTTGAACTAGCTCGCGTTATGGGAGTTACAAATTGTAATTAAGTAAATATATCATTGAAACTATTGCGTGAATTGTCCGTCATTATTCAGAACTTATTCATTGAAAGAACCTCCGCTTACGGTTCTCGATTGTCGTTGAGACGCCAATACACAACGCAAGTTAATAATACGCACAAACGAGAGACGATCGAGACATTGGTGCCGTGACCAGGATGGACGATGTTAAACGCGCAAAGATAACTCGACCCGCTCAACGAGCCCAAGCAACAAAGACGTGGAATAAAGCAGAAACGTTAATGAATGACGAGATCAACGAAACCAACATTCAACGACTACAAGTTGTGCTACAGACATTCGACACGAAAATCGAACAATTGAAAAAGCTCGACGAGAATATATCGTGTAAAATCGAGACCGAGAAAGAACTGGAAAGCGAGATCGTGGAAGCAGACGACTATCTAAGTGAGCTAATGGATAAAAGGTACCGAATACAATTTTTTACAAGTGCTAATCAAGCCACTACGGCAAGTCCTAACAACACGCTGTCTGCCGCGGCGGCGCAAAACTATAGTCAAGGAGAACAATTGGCCTCTCAAGGTCACACTTACTCGCCGCAATTGAACAATTCGAGTGCGCATAGATTACCTAAGTTAGCCCTGCCGATATTCAATGGGAATCCACTAAAATGGCAAACGTTTTGGGACTCGTACAAAGCCGCAGTTCATGATAATAAATCTCTATGTGACATACAAAGATTCAATTATTTAAAAGCGCATCTGGCGGAAGAAGCGGTTAGATCAATCGAGGGTTTACCACTAACAGACACAAACCACGCACAGTCCGTCAAGACAATAGAAGAAAGATTTGGTCAACCACATAAAATCACAAACGCACACATGCAAGCATTGTTAGACCTCCCTAATCCATCTGAGTCCGTAACTAGTTTACGTGGGTTTTACGACCGCATGGAAAATCACGTCCGAAGCCTTGAAGCTTTGGGGAAAACACAAGACTCCTACGGTGATCTCCTAGTGCCCGTTATGTTGAGCAAGCTTCCGACCACTGTAAAACACAATCTTATTCGAGAACATGGAACCACGGACTTGAGTTTAGAACAATTGCGCAAAGCTATTTCGAAGGAAATCCTTATACTCGAGGCAGGTGAAGAGACAAATAAACTTAACAATTTAAGTCAGTCACCTGATACCCTCCCTTCCATCTCCAGTTTATTAACGAACACTAGCAGATATAAAAACCTTGGGGGGAATTTCAGTAACTCAAAGTTTAAAACACCACCTAACCCCTCCAAACCGAAGGCGTGTACTTTCTGTAATGGATCTCACAAACCGAACGACTGTACGGTAGTAAGTGATCCTGCTGCACGAAAACAAATTACGTTTCAGGCGAACTTGTGTTTCAACTGCCTTAATAACCATCGCGTGTCACAGTGCAAATCCAAAAACCGCTGCAGACAATGTCACCAAAAACACCATACAAGCCTTTGTGTAGGGAATAAGGAGCGCCCAGAACAACAAAAACCTGATCCAAACGCGCGTCAAAACATCAAAGACAAGGACAGAAACGTGCAATGTATGTGTACCAACGGCGGCGACGTAGCTCAAACAACCAACACAAGCGAACAAACATCTGGTAACAACACCACATCAGCATCCGTTACGAACCTTCATACCAACCTATCCGACAACAACTACTCCCACCGATGTACCTTACTGAAAACAGCAATAGATTACTTCTTAATGCAGATAAATGTAAAGAACTCCAAATCGACTTTAAATCCACGAAACAGAACTTCGACCCTCTTACAGTATACGGGAAGAAATTGCCGGTTGTCCAAAACGCTAAAATTCTAGGCCTCACCATCTCTAGTAACCTTAAATGGACTAACCACATTAACGAAGTCATCAAAAAAGCTAACAAACGTCTTTACTTCATTATCTTACTTAAGCGCGCAAAAGTCAGTCCGAAAGACATTGTAAACTTTTACTGTACAGTTATCAGGCCCATTTTGGAATATTGTGCCCCGGTTTTCCATTACTCAATCCCATCCTTCCTGTCAGAAGATCTTGAGATGGTACAAAAGCGAGCACTGAAGATCATTTTACCCGCGAACTCATATAGCGAAACTTTAGAATATTTCAATCTTCAAACTTTATTCCAAAGACGCGAAGAAATGTGTAACAAACTTTTTACAAATATTACTAACAATCCGACACACAAACTGCATAATTTACTGCCTCCCAAACATGAGTCGGTTTACCAACTTAGGAACAATAGACTGTTTGAACGATTCGAAACTAATACAGAAAGATTTAAAAAACTTTTATTCCTATGTCTAGTAACTTAAGTTAATGTAATTTTTAGTACTAAGCGTTTTAATGACCATTTGTAAATATGCCTAATTAACCCATATTCTATCTTTTAAATAATGTATTATATAATCTTGTAAATCACGCAATTCAGCTGTCCAGCTGCAAGGTGAATTTTAAATACACTATCTATCTATCTATCTATCCCACCGTACAATCCCGAAACAGAGCCGCAACCGCACACATCCTGTTCGATGAAGGTGCCCAACGTTCTTTCATAACTGAAGAATTAGCAAACAATCTCAACCTCGTGCCAGAAAGGACAGAACCTTTACACCTATCAGTCTTCGGTGGTGCCCAGACATCAGTGAAAAGAGTCGATATCGCAACCGTACATCTACAAACAGACACTGGTGGAATTATCCCAATCCAAGTAGTAATCCTCCCAGTGATTGCTATACCACAAAAGAACCATATGACCACTGACATATACAACCTACCTTACCTCAAGAACCTCAAGCTAGCTCATCCCGTCACCAGCGATGACCAATTCGAGATCTCTCTCTTCATTGGTGCAGACCACTATTGGGACGTTGTAGAAGACAAGATTGTTCGGGGATCTGGACCTACTGCCGCCAAGTCAAAGATTGGCTACCCACTGTCTGGACCAACTGCCATTCCCTACCCACCATCAGAACTCACCGCTACAGTCCTCAAGGCCATCGTTGCGACAGAACGGGAAGAAGAAATGTTAGAACGGTTCTGGAACTTGGAATCCATAGGCATTTTACCTGATGAAACCGAGAAAAAAGAAAGAGAGTTCGTTGAAGACTACCAAAATTCCTCAATTCCTCTTGAAAATGGACACTATAATGCTATGTTGCCTTGGAAACCTAATCACCCACCACTTCCTACAAATGAAGCAATAGCAAAAGGACGAACCCGCTCCACAGTACGACGGCTTGCCACAGACCCCGAAAAGCTGAAAGCATACAACCAAATCATCACCGAACAACAACAACGTGGATTTATCGAGAAAATCCCCGATTCCGAAAAGATCCGAAGCAGATGTCACTACCTTCCACACCATGCTATCTTGAAAGACTCCTCCACCACTCCACTTCATGTCGTCTTTGACTGCAGCTGCAAGACAAACGATAGTCAACCAAGCTTGAATGATTGTTTAGCTACTGGTCCTCCACTCTTAAACGATCTCACCGCGATCCTCATTCGATTCCGCTGCTTTCGGTATGCCTTGACTGCTGATATCGAGAAGGCATTTCTCCACATAATTCCGGACGAGGAAGATCGGGATGCCACACGATTTTTCTGGATATCGGACCCAAAGGACCCGGAAAGTCCATTTGACGTCTATCGTTTTAAGTCCATCCTATTTGGTGCGTCGCGTTCACCGTTTATCCTAAATGTGACCCTCAAGAAACATCTCGAAAGTATTCACAGCCCAGTCTCTGAGAAAATGAAGACCGATATTTATGTTGATAACCTCGCCACTGGCTCTGACAGTGAATATGAAGCATCTACGTTTCTTGAAAGATCAAGGCTGATAATGTCACCTGTGGGCTTTAATCTAAGAGCGTGGAATTCTAACAACCCCACGGTTCGTGCATCAGCCGCGGACCAAGGCCTTCAAGACAAAGATCCAGAAACAAAGGTACTCGGGCTTCGATGGAATCCTAACACTGATACACTCCAGTTTCAGCAACGGCAACCACCTAACGACGCCAACAATAGCATCACAAAAAGAGAAGTTCTCCGCGAATCCTCCAAGATTTACGACCCACTTGGCATCCTAACTCCAGTAACCATTCGAGCCAAGATACTTATACAAGAACTGTGGAAAGAAGGGTACAGTTGGGACGAATCTTTACCACAAGAGCTCCAAGAAAAATGGTTGGCACTCTCTAAGGATTTGCAAACCGCCACACAAACCGAAATTCCTCGCCGTTACTTCCCCTCTTCATCAACATGGCCACCTAGCACTTCCCTCCACGTATTTGTCGACGCCAGTGTTAAAGCATATGGAGCAGCTGCTTGTATCACTTATGGTTCCGAAACATCATTGGTTTTGGCCAAATCCCGAGTTGCGCCTCTCAAGAAACTTACCTTACCACAGCTCGAGTTAATGGCAGCTGTACTTGTTGCAAGACTGTCTTCATACCTCCAAGCCCATTTAAAAGCGTCCGACGTTTACCTCTGGTCGGATAGTCAAATAGTCCTCCACTGATTGTCCTCTAAGAAAGAATTGAAGCGATTCGTCCACAACCGCGCCACCGAAATCCAGTCGTTCACAGAAACTGCCTCATGGAACTATTGTCCAACTGGGGATAACCCCGCTGATCTCCTAACCAGAGGAATGCAGACTAGTGAACTATCCACATCCACTCTCTGGTCTCGTGGACCTTCGTGGCTAAATACAAAGAAGAACTGGCCCAGCTGGAACTCCAAATCTGTTCTCCTCCAGTCCACTGCAGCAGAACAACTCGAAGCCATCTCCACCTTTACTAGTGAACCAACAAACAACCCAACTAACGCACCTGAACCTAGACATGGAGTTGCCAAAATTATCAATCTGTCTGCTTATAGTAACCTCCATAAGCTAGTACGAGTCACAGCGTGGGTTCTACGCTTCGTCGATAACCTGAAGAAGAGAACTCATTCTGGTCCATTATCTGTCACTGAACTAGATTCTGCTCTAATGTTTTGGATTGTTGATTGTCAATCTGTTGTGTATTCAAACGAACTTGTCAACCTACAGTCGAAGACATCTAACCGATCATCATTGGTCAGACAACTTCGTCTATTTCTCGCCGAAGGCATCATCCGCTGTGGTGGAAGAATACATAATGCTCCTCTTCAAGAATCTGCTAAGTTCCCCATTCTCCTCCCAAGAAACCATCATCTTACACAGTTGATTGTGGAGGATGCACACAGAGCAACCCTTCACTCTGGACAAACTCTACCCTTACCCACCTCCGTCAAAGATATTGGATACCTGCTGCCAGACAATACATTAAGAAGATCATCCGTCGTTGTGTAACGTGCCTCAAAACTACAGGCAAACCATACACGGTACCAGACCCACCACCACTTCCAACAACTCGAACAAATGATTCATCCCCATTCACCATTACTGGGGTCGATTTTACAGGCGAAATCTACGTGAAATCAACCAACGGTCGATCGAAGGTGTATATTTGCCTGTTCACTTGTGCAAGTACTCGTGCTGTTCACCTTGAAGTCGTGACCGACCTAACAGTTCCGACCTTTATTGAAGCTTTCCGTCGATTCGCAAGTTGCACGTCACTGCCAAAAGTTTTGATCTCTGACAACGCCTCCACCTACCAGTCCGCTGCAGAAGAGTTGTTGAAGCTCCTGAAATCCCCACTCCTCGAGACAATGGAGATTCATCCCCAAACGTGCTCCATGGTACGGTGGATTTTGGGAACGACTCATCGGTCTGACGAAGATTACCCTTAAAAGAGTCTTGGGAAGAGCCTCTGTTCAGCTGTCCGAACTTCAAACGATTGTTGTGGAAATTGAAGCAATACTAAACGACCGTCCACTTACATTCGTCTCCTCCAACATCGAAGACGAACAACCCTTGACACCTTCCCATCTACTCTATGGTCGCAGAATAACGGCATTACCCCACCCACTGAGAGAAGAAGAGGAATGGTCTGATCCCACCTTCAACGAAGACCCCACACTTGTACAACACCTTGCGAATATTAGAGCTAACCTCATTCATCATTTCTGGAATCGTTGGCGACACGAGTATTTAACTTCCCTTCGAGAATTTCATAAGGCAAGTGGAAAAAACGAGATTACCACAAAAATTGGTGACGTTGTACAAGTCCATGATGATACGAAACGTATCAACTGGAGATTAGCTGTGGTTGAAAGTCTCATCACTGGCAATGATGGATTGGTTCGAGCAGCCAACATCAGAACCAGTACCGGCCGTACTAACCGTCCAATTGCCAAACTGTATCCATTAGAGGTTAGAGCTACAACCTCCTTTGGTATTTGTCCCACAACTGACGAACCAAGTGACGAGAAAGATCAACCATCCGAGAACCCGCCACAGAGAGAGAAACGATCAGCAGCAGTAGCAGCAAAGAAGAAAAATGAAGGCTGGACATCCTCATTGTTGTGCCCCCCGGAGGATGTCGTGAAATAGCGACAGACGCTAAAACACTAATGACTTTAATATAATCATATAGATATTGAATTACGCACTTGTCTTTGAATGACACAGACCTAGCACATGTCAATGTACAAATATTAGTAATCGCACACATACTCGAACTTGATTGGTCAGAATAATTTGCTTAGGGGTAAAATTACATTCGTGCTTTGGACACATTATTATTATATTTTTATGTTTGTATATAGTCTTGAACTGGCTCGCGTTATGGGAGTTACAAATTGTAATTAAGTAAATATATCATTGAAACTATTGCGTGAATCGTCCGTCATTATTCAGAACTTATTCATTGAAAGAACCTCCGCTTACGGTTCTCGATTGTCGTTGAGACGCCAATACACAACGCAAGTTAATAATACGCACAAACGAGAGACGATCGAGACACATATAGTTATCGATATCTTCTGCTGACATATCTTTTTTTATGTACTATTTAAAACACGAGTAGGAGTGTTTTATCAGACATAAAACGCGAGGCGCAGCCGAGCGTTTTATATCTGATAAAACACGACAACAAGTGTTTTGAATGGCTTAATATAAATTGAATAGCTTGATACAAACACCAGTCTATACATTTGTAATACCATCGATATGCGAGGCTTCCCTAAACCAGGGACTTGGGCACCGGAACACCAAAATGTTGAAATTTGTTAAAAATTATCAAATAATATAAACAAACAAGTTGCTATGAGAAACGAACAAGTTGCTATGATTTATAAGAACTCTAAAAGTGATGCTTACGGTAATTCCGCAGTTTTGCATTGCGCACGTTTACTGCGCACATCTTATAACTTATAATTTCATCCATTATACGTACCGCTTAAAAAAATCATTTTATGACAATTTTATGTTACTTCAAAACATCTTTGGTTACATTCGTGCAAAGAATTACGTTAAAATCAATGTTTTCAAAAAAGGCATACAAAAATGTAGCTAGGGTTCCCTGTGTCTGTAGTATATTTATTTACTTGTATTTCACGTTTTAATGCCACAATTCCCTAAAAAGATCGGTGACCCCCATTTTTAAACTGATAATTTACTTCTTTAATGCATTTTACATTTCATATCCGAAATTCAAAGAAAAATAATTTCTGGATCTTGAAAAAAAATCCTTTATCAATGCATGTTCTCTGAGAAAGATATGTAAAGAAATGTGGAAAAGACATTTGTGGATCAGAATTGTACACGTTAGTAGTTTCATTTTGCTCAAAACACAATATATTTTAAAAAAGAATTACAAGATAGGTTTACTAAAGTAAAATCCGCGCTAAAAACGTCAATAAATATTGGGTTGTTCTGATTTTGCTGTTACTCGTAATGAGCGTCAAGATGACGCCATATTGGGGTAAAGGTGGTATATTGTGATTGTCATATCTTCTTAACATGTTCGGTGACCCCGACTTTTTTGTGTGATTTTACTTTAAGTACATCATAAACTCCATGCCTAGGAAGTTTCAGTACATTCTCTTTTCGGGAACAATTACTGCGGAATTACCTTAAGGAAAAATTTGAATGACAGATGAAAATTATCCTTTTCCACTTCAAAAGTAAGTTTGTAAAAACAAGGAAGCCAATCAACTGCTGTTTTGACACAGGAGGCCCAGGCTCGATTTGCCCGCGCCCGCCTGTGCCTTCCTTATAACGAGGGAAGGAAGGAAACATTGAGACCAAAATAGCCCAGACTGGCATATGTCACACGAAACTATCCTCGATTTTTCGCCTTTAATGCATTTCTTTCACGATTAATCGATATCCCCTGCAAGAATGATACCGTATAACTCTCAAAACAACGATGCTTTAATCATAGAGCTTAAATTCGCTCTGAAATCCGTGAGGGAATAACATAATTCGCCCAAAATATATCCAATATATAACTCAAAATACACTCAACCCTGATTGGACAACGAAAATCAACAAACATTTCAAATTTCTGTAGTCAGTAATGTAATATAAATTTGAATCAAAACAATTAACAAATGTTGTCGGGGGGAAAACCAGTGCAAATCTAAATATTTAAATTTAAGAAGTTTAGTCAGTATAATAACGTTTGTGAATTGTTTTGATTCAAATAATCAAATTATTACAGTACTGTTCCAAGTACTATCCCCCTTCCCAGTGCCAGTGGAGAAAAATTTGAAATATTTGTTGATTTTCGTTGTCCAATCAGGGTTGAGTGTATTTTGAGTTGTTCAACGACTTCCGCTTTTTGTCCAGCAAACCCGGCACGCGGATATATTTTGGGCGAATTTTGTTATTCCCTCACGGATTTCAGAGCGAATTTAAGCCCTTTGGTTAAAGCATCGTTGTTTTGAGAGTTATACGGTACATTCTTGCAGGGGATATCGATTAATCGTGAAAGAAATGCATTAAAGGCGAAAAATCGAGGATAGTTTCGTGTGACATATGCCAGTCTGGGCTATTTTGGTCTAACCTGAGTATCAGGCCGTACTTTTTAGGGCACAGGCACGCCTGGTCGTGGGCGAAGGGGAGAAAAGTAATTTTGGTCTCAATGTTTCCTCCCTTCCCTCGTTATAAGGAAGGCACAGGCGGGCGCGGGCAAATCGAGCCTGGGCCTCCTGTGGTTTTGATTGATCGATGTCGAAGAGATATGAACATTCCAGTATACAGTATACAGTATATAGCTCAGGACTTTAGCGCATGCGCATGAGGATATTTACATGTGCTCGTTTCAGAGATTTTTTTTTCTTTTTTTTTTTTTTTAAAATTTATTTTCCCATGTACATTACAATTATTAATACATTATTACAAATGAACTATTTGGGCTAGAGACCTACTAGAAACCTTTGCAGGCTTTTGTTTCTAGGCCACTAGTCATGTCCTATTTAGATTATTTTATTATTTACAGTAATTTTTAAGATAATATTAAATGCAGAAGAAAAGTTTTATAAGGTATATACAAGATATTTACAAATTTGAGGTATGAAGGGTAAATACTGTAGTGTTTACAATATTAAGATAAAGAGATATACTAGTTAGATTATTATATGGTATTTTTTTGCACAATGACAATGCATGGACAGACATTGTCTGCATAAAGAAAGTGTGATTTCTGAATCTATGTATTTGTAACTGGATTTAGTATAAAGTGTTGCTTAATTAGTTTCTTGAAGGTATTATAGAAATTTATGTCTTTCAGATTTGTTTTTAATTTGTTCCACACATCAACTCCTTTATTTGAAAGAGTGTGTTTTACATAATTTGTTCTCTTATAACATTTAAAAAGTTTTGATGCGTTTCTCGTATTATGTTGATGAATTTGGTTGTTTGTAACGAAGATTGACTAAAACTATAGCGTATTTGGTTTATATTCTACTACTAGGTTACCTAAAATGTAGTAAATGCTGCCTTTAAGAAGCACACGCCATGAACGTTTTAAAATACTATTTGTAGTGATTGCAAATCAAAGATGTGTTATCGCATATTCGCATATACGAAATATACAAATACAAAATTTGAAGCGTAGCCTATAAAACTGCGAAACGTATTAAAATACTATCTAAAATATAGTGAAATATAATAGTATTAGACTTAATATGAAATCCGATAGTATTTGTCGTTTGTATTTGTACGCGCACTATAAAAACAGCGATTAATTCAACAGATTCCACTTGATATATTCTTGCTTATGCTTTAGTGAACATTACTTCACACAAAGGCCTGTTTACACTTGCAATTTTCACTGCGATTTCTACAACGATTTTTTGAAATCTCTAATGTACACACTCTGGGATTTTGACTGCAACTTTGGTGCGACAATACTGCAATTTGCAGCGATTTTTCCATTTCACTGGCTTGTAAACTGAGTTAAATTTTCAATACATCACTCAAGTTTACAAGCAATACAAAGATTTTGTTCTAATTAGGTTGTTTACGGCTGTTTTCTGACAAGTGATTGGCTGTAGAAAAAAATTCCCCGACTGTTCTTCGCCTGTTAGTGACGTTAGTGATTTTAATATGAGTTATGTCATGCAAAATGGGTCTGAAACTTTCTGTATTGAACTACCACTCGCTCACAGATTAATTAACTGCATTTATAATTCTATTGTAGATTTATACCTGTGCAATATTGCTTTTAAAAACAGCGTGAAAGTGAAGAATTGTAAATATTTAATAGCACTGCAATTCAAATAGCCGCCCTGGTAGCCGCGCGTTGCATGTTGGTAAAATGACTTTCAACCAACATGCTTTGCGGCTCTAGCAAGATTGAGATTTTAAGTAGCTATACGATTTTAGTCTGCTGCCTTGCTCGCTCGCTTAATGCTCGCTCGCTGCGGCAGCAATAATAGCCTGAGTGTCAGACGAATAACGAATTATATTCGACGAATATAATTTCGTTATTCGTCTGACACTCAGGCTACTACTATAAAGGTTGTACTATTTCTATGCATATTACTCTATTAAACGAAGTCAAGTACTCTATTTCCGTCATATACATTCTACTCTACAATCGAATGCCAGGAAACAAAATGTTGTTTTCAACAACAGACATGGATAGGCCACCTGTGGTGTAAAACCTTGCTATGTAAAATTGTAGAAAGGAAAAGCTCGAGTCTTGCTAGACGAAGACGAAGTCTATCTTCGTATATGAATCCGTCACTGGCTGAGATTGATTATGTTCGTTATTAGTAGCTATCAGCAAGTCAAATTATCAAATAATATAAACAAAGAATAATATAAACATGAAAAGCGGGTTTTACGCAATAATTATTTCAACAATAATTAATTAATCTCTGCGGAGGAGGCTACGTGGTAATCTGGTATATTATTTGATAATTTTTAACAAGTTAAAATTTTTTGGTGTTCTGCTGTTCCGTGTTCCAGTTAGCCTGTTCCAGTGTGCACCCGGTGTTCCTCTTTCAATAACGTTCAGTGTTCTCACAATCAAATTTTCGAATTCCTTAGAAAAAACTCGAAAATTCCTCAGATTTCCTTAAAATTCCTTAAATTGGTAA